CGGCGTTCCCGGGCCGGGCGGGCCCAGGCAGGAGCCGACGCCGGGGAGCGGCCCGGGCCCCTGGAAAGGCACCGGAGGGGCGGCCACTGGCTCAGTGTGGCCGCGGTTGCCGCAGCCCCTGCAGCGGGTCTGTGGCCCCCTGGCACCACACAGCCTGAGTGGACTCCAAACACTGCTTCCCCCCCCCCACACACACACACCTGGGTCCTGCAGCTGTCACCTGCACCCAGCTGCTCCCTCCTTCCCCCTGCTCGGGATGCAGCCGCCGCCCCGGCATTTACACCCGGCCAATGGGCGGCGGGTCCAGCTGCGCATGTGCAGGGAAGCCTGGTTGGGTCTAAGACACTAGGTGGCAGCAGGGAGCCCTGGGGGGGATTGGGGGTCTCCTTGCTCCCAGGTCAGGCCGAGGATCCCGGCTCCACCTCCCCCCACAGGCGACCCAGTCGCAGGAGTCCCCCTCCCCGGTGCTCGACTGCCACGACTCTAGCGCCTAAGGCGGGGGTGGGGGGGGAGCACATGAGGATATGGATGGAACAGGGACCCCCAAAGCTCCCTGGAGCGCCACTAATCGCTGAGACAGGCTGACCAGGCAGGGCAGAGCCGGTGGGGGACTAACCCTATGAGAAAAGGAGTAAAAAAAATCTTCAATGAATCAAACACTGAACCCTCCAAGCTCTGGGGCTAGGCCGCCCCCTTGCGCAGTAAGGGCAGCGCCGCAGGAACACGCTGTGGAGGGTGAAATGCTCCAGGAACCCCAATCACAACAGGGGATTCCAGCTTGGCTGGGGCTGTGGCGCGTCCGGTGAGAGAGGATCCGGGCCGAGCTGAGCCACTCGCACCGAGCGACCGTCCCGTGATTCAATGTCACGATCCCACAGCGGGTCAGCTCAGAAAGGGAACTTGGTACGTGCGAATCAGACACAGGAGTGAGACGCCTGCAAGCTGCACGGAAAATCTTTCAAAACAGCATGAAAGTCTCAGTCCAAACCTACACCCCACAGCCGTTAATCAGAGGGGAGCCCCCGCCTGAGCCATTCTGTTCCGGGGACAGATCTGAGGAGTCTAGAGAGGCGGCTTGGGAAGAAATTAAACCGTAATAAGGCCCTAGAAATGTGGGATTCACCCATGAGTCCTGCAGGAACTCAGCTATGAAACTGCAGCACCACTCGGGATCTTGGTAAACTGAGAACTGGGCTAGAGAGAAGAAATGAAATACAGTGAAGACGGGCTACGCTTTGGGAAGAAAAAGCAAGTGCACCAGTACAGAACGGGGGAGAACTGGCTGGGCAGCAGCGTTGCTGGGAGTTGTGGTGGATCACAACCTGAACAGGAGTCAGCAACGCGATGCTGCTGGGAAAAAAGCACGTACAATTTTCGGTTGCATGAACAGAGGCGTGGCTGCAGGTCCCAGGAGGTGACAGTATGGCTCTGCTCGGCCCAGGCGAGGCCTCAGCTGGAGGAGGGTGTCCAGTTTTGGTCACCAATGCACAGAAAGGATGTGGAGACACTGGGTAGGATCCAGAGGCGAGCGACAAAGCCGATCAAAGGGGTGGGACGCCAGCTACGTGAGCAAAGGCTGCAGGAAGTGGGAACGCTCAGTTTGGAAAAGAGATTAAGGGGGGACACGCGAGCGCTCTTCGACTACTCGAAAGGCTGCCATAGAAAAGATGGAGACAGGTGGTTCTCGCTGGCCCCAGAGGGCAGGACGAGAGGTC